CTCCCTGTTTTTTCCCCTCAAAGATTGTTGTTTTGTTTTGCTGTTGGTTTTGTTTTCTTGGCATGAAAAGCAACGATTGTGAACCCAGGTACTTCTCGTTTGCATAGTTACTCCCAATATGAGACCCCCCCATTCCAAAATGAGGCAGCTTCTCTCAAAGCAGTTTTCTTCTGTGATGAGTCATTAAGCTCACAGGTCTTTCATTGGATCCCACAATTATATCTTGAGGTGGGAAAGCAGAAGTCATAGCATCATCAGAATTAAGAACAGATTAAAGATACTGAAGCACAAAAAGTGACTGTGGTTCTTGCTCCCTCAGGCAAGAATGCCAACATAATCAGCCCAGAGATGTTTCCCCTATATCCTCCTAATAGTCTAATTGTCAGGGTTTAATAAATCTTGCTCAAAAAGAAAGAGAAAATGAAGTGAAGGTGAAGTTTCCCAAGTTAATTGAACCAACCAAATCATGCAGGGACCGAGTGGCCTTGAAGATCTATTACCATTTCAAATCCCAGCTTCTCTATGTATTGCTCTTGTGACTCATGCTTCAGAGGAGGAATGGGAATAGGAAGCATTTTTTTTTGGTCATGATTAGACTAAAGACTGTGTTTTCCACATGAACAGTGCTTCTGGATATGGGTGGTGGGTATGATAGGCTGGGGAAGGCTGTGCCTTCCCAAACAGCCAGCCATGGCCCCACCCAGAACCTCTCTGTCACTCCCTGGTGTGGTATCCTCGGCTCTGGCTGGGGCCACACACTCTGCCCTCCTGGCACTGTGGGGTTGGGGGTACGCCACTCGCTCTCTTGGTGCTTGTGAGCTGGGGAGGCTGAAGCCGTGCTGCCCATCCTCTCAGTCCTCTGGGGCTGGGGATGCTGGACTGGATGGGGGCTGGTGGCTATGGGGGAGGACTCTTGGGTCCAGCAGGGAGGAGGCGGAGAAAGGGGTGCTTGGAACAGGCAGAGCATTGGGTGGTGGAGGTAAGGCTGGGAGCTAGTGTCTCCCAGCCTGCCATCCATCCATCATCTCTACTCCAGTCAGAGATGAACGAGAGAAAATTGGGCACAGATTATTTTTTTTGCTTATAAAACATGAAAATATTTGTTCATATTACTACTGGGCAGCAAACTGTTTTGCTAGCAGACAACCTTTCAAACTAAAAACAATGTTAGTGTGTCAAAAGGAGAGGGCATTTACATGCAGCTGACATAGCGGGTGCACAGCACTCCAAGGGCACTATTTTTAGTATAATAGAGCTGGACAAATTGTTAGAAACATTATTTTCATAAATGTTCATGGATTCTGAATTGCAACATGTGCAAATTATATTTGTATCTTTTCTTCACTTTGCCACCCAAATGCTTGGAAGAAGAGTAAACATCGATATACATGAAAAAAACCGTGTATTTGTGTGTGAACTAGCACATTTATTATTTATACTGCAGAATCATGTATAAGTCCCAGTCATGAATTAGTACCCCATTGTGTTTGGTGGTATATAAACAGGTAACAAAAAGATGGTTTCCTGTCCTGAAGAGTTGGTACCTATTTGATCGCCCTTTTCATTCACTTATAGACAGCTAGACATACCTACACATTCTGCACTCAAGGCTTCATCTTCAACATCATTTCTTAGCATACCTCCACCCCAGTGTCCACACTCTACCAATGCTTCTGGATTTGACTTTCATACAGTCCTCTTATTTCTATCTTCATCGTTGTCTTCTTGTTTAAGTTCCTCCTTCCCTTTGCATGGAGTGCTTTGTATATGGACTAATGGGTCACCTAACTAAGCATAGAGTATGCCAGTAGCCTTCATACTTCGAACAAAGCATAACAAATGACCACTAGCGTAGTGTGGGTAGGTGAGAGAAATGGAAGACTAGTAAACTCAATAATGTAGATGCTCAGTGAGAATATTTGTTTATCGTGATTTTATGAATATAAGTGCATTTTTATGGCAATTGGACAATGTTACAAGTACCTAGATATTAATACAGTGGTACACAGAAAACAGACAAAAATCATATGATTCCTTGTGCAGCTGGGATTATAAATATTGTAAAACAGTGTGTGATAAACATAAAATTATGTGTATTGTTATGTAGACTGACTCTTATTTTCATTTAGGAACCTAAATTCAGGGGCATCATTTCAGAAAAATTCAGTCGGGATGAGGAGGGAATTTGGGTCAGGCTATAGAGCATTATATGTGAGTACAGGATGCACCTCTAAAATCTGGGATTCTCTGGTTCAGCAACATCCGTGGTCCTCCATGACCATGGATGTTCTAGGATCAGAGAGTCCTGGTGCATTACAAGGGGGTGAGGGCTTGAGAGCCAGTGTGTGGCTCAGCTGGGCTGTGAGGAAGGAGCCAGGAGCTAGCGTGAATCTCAGTTGGGCTGTGAGGTGGGGCCGGGAGCTGGCTTGTGGCTCAGTTGGGCTGCAGAGGGAGAGAGTGGGAGCCAGCACATGGCTTATCTGCACTGCAAGGGGGGGCAGTGAGCCAGTGCATGGCTCAGTTGAGCGGGGGAGCCAGGAAGCCCAATGGGTGGGGCCAGCAGGGGGGCAGCAGCAGAGGCCCTGAAATGAGCTCCCCTGGTTCAGAAAAATCCCTCACCTCAGCAGTCAAGTTCTGAGCGTGCTGGACCAGGGAGGGCCAACCTATATATTGTAGGCCCTCAAAGTTGCCTGCAAAGTTGAATGGGGCTAAATGTGCAGGCCATAATGGAGCACATAGAGCACCCACGACAAGCCCAGCAGGAGGTCAAATATATGAATTTCAGACAAACCCCAAAACCAGGGTTGTTGAACTTGGGCAATGAAATGAGCCAGACTTCTTTTAGCATTTGCAGAGCTTGCTGAGTGACTTTGAGATCTAGCTACAACCATCATAACTAGGACTGCACAAGCACATTCACACAATTGTTCTCAATGTGAACAACAACTTAAACCAAAGCATCAGAAAATACATCAGGTTTTTAATCTTTTCTGTTTTCTCAATCAGGAAGGAACTAGCTCTTTTTAAGTCCAAGGCCTACATAAGAATATAAGTATGACCAAACTAGGTCAGACCAAAGACCCATTTAATCCAGTATTCTGTCTTCTGACAGTGGCCAATGCCAAGTGCCCCAGAATAAATGAACAGAACAGGTAATCATCAAGTGATCCAATCTTTGTCATTCATTCACAATGTCTGGCAAACAGAAGCTAGGGACACAATCCCTATTCATCCTGGTAAATAGTCATTGATGGACTTATCCTCCATTAAATTACCTACTTCTTTTTGGAATCCTGTTGTAGTGTTGATCTTCACAACATCATTTGGCAAGGAGTTCCACAGGTTGGCTGTGTGTTGTATTAAATAATGTTTCCTTCTGTTTGTTTTAAACCCACTGCCTTTTAATATAATTTGATGACCCTCTCAGTTCTTGTGTTATGAGTAACATTTCCATACTTACTTTCTCCATGTCAATCATGATTTATAGACTTCTACCATATCTTTCCTTAGTTGTCTCTTTTCCAAACTAAAAGGTCTCAGTCTTATTAATCTTTCCTCATATGGCTGCTGTTCTTCAATCCTTATCATTTTTGTTGCATTTTTGGAAACTTTTCCATTTCCAATATACTTTTTTAAGATAGGATGACCACATCTGCATGCAGTGGTCAAGATATGAGTCTACTTGTATAGCCAGTCCTTTTCTTGTACAAGAAGATTTTACATGTCTATACTTTCCTTATTATTTTCTGTTGCGTTTCTATCACTAATGTGCATTCCACTAGCTCTCTCAATATTGCAAATAATTTCTTAAGGCACTGCTCCAATTGATAATTGCCTGGGAACCATACTATCTAATTGAGGTGACAAATCTGTATGGGAAATTTGGACTATTTAATACTTTAGAGTGGGGTGCTCAAACTTTTTCTTTCTGAGCATCCCTCTCCCCACATGCTATAAAAATTCCACAATCCATCTGTGTCAGAAGAACTGTTTTTCTGCATATAAAAGCCACACCACATGTTAGGGGGTAATAAGTAGGACAATTGCCTGGAACTCCACGATACTGTCCAACCTTCCCCCCCAAAGCTGCCTTGCTCAGACTTTGGCTTCAGCTTGGTGGGGCTCGGGGTTCAGGGTGGGTGGGATTTTAGCTTTCAGTCCTGGGCTCCAGTGAGTAATACTGGCCTGATTGGTGAACTCCCTGAAACCTACTTGTGGCCCCCATGCACAGATATAAAAAGACATCATCTTCCTCTCCAAGTGCAAACAGATGGACATCATACCTCCAGGACTGAAAGTGAAAAATCCATTACAAATAATTTACTATGCTAGGAATAGTGAAAGACTGTGTCATATACACTCAAAAAAAAAAAAAAAGGTCACCAGAGTTACTCTGAATTGGTGCCAGAGTAATGTGATGAGCATGTGGCCCATAAAATGATAACTAAGGTCACCACTTCTCTTTACCAAAGACAAAAGGGTTAAGTTCCAATCTGTGCCTGAAGGTAAGATGAGGAAGGGGGGATGAAATTAGCATAAATAACATTGTAAAATTCTTGGGCTTTCATTTTGAACATTGTATGCCCTTAAGATGCAGCCCACATTGGTCCTTCGTGTGTGTGTTGACACTCATATCTTAAATATGCAAACAAATTACATCATTTTTACAAAATTTGGACCATTACTTTTATTTCTCATATTGTTCAGATATATAAAGAAATCTCAGGCATTAGAAAATAAAACATTCTCAGGATCTACATGGCTATTTGATGCAAATATTATCCTTTTTTGTGTTTGACTACATGTTTGTACTTAACTAAAGTTTTTAGTTTGACGTGTTCATGTGAAGGGCTTACTTACAAATTTATAAGATAAAAATGTACCAATAATTAATTTCTCGCCCCATGTTAAATCTGTCTGAAACAGTGGGTTGGGACTGCACGGTTGCATATTCACTTTTTGTTCACCACTTTGATATCTAATATTGTATGTCCATTCTTAAAAGGCATTTATCATTTGTTAACCTAGACTATACATATGTTTAAAACAAAAGATTAGTCACTTGAAAGAAAATTACTATTCATTTGAAAAATGCAAGTAGTTTTTTCTTTAGAGATCACTGATTAGATTAAAAGATACAGGTGATTCCTTAGCTGATGTAAAGCAGCATAGTTCCATTGACTTCAGCATGTTGAAGTCAAGCCTTTATCCTTCAATGACATGTCTTACTTAGTTTCAGTTAAAGAATTATCCTGCATATAATAGGACTCAGCATATTCATTCTCACCTTTTAAACTGTTTGCAGCAATATTTATTTCTAGTGTAGAGTGTTCTCAAATCCCCAGTTGCTCACTTAAATTGTTCGATATCTATGCCCTTTGCAAACAAAGGAAAAAATAAATACTGCCAAACATCTCCAATGATCAGGAATTTTATTCCATCCATATACATGCATAGTAACAACATTTGTTGAGAAATTGTTTCTATCAGAAGTAGAACATTATCTTTGTGATCACCAGTTGCAGTATTGCTACTCTTATATTTAAATATATCTTATATATGAATTAGATTCATACTTGCAGCATTGAGTTTAGGGTTTCATTTTAGACTGTGCCTTTCAAAAGATAAAACTGATTGATATGACTTCATTACTTACAATACTGCTTCCAGTAATTTTGTTCATTCTTTATAAAGTATTGCATTTAACAGCAAAATTTTAAAAATTGAGACAGAGATGCATCAGCGAAAGAAAATACAAGTACTATACAAGAAAAAAATTGCCATCTTCATTTAACGTACGTTTCAGATTAAGAAAGTGGACAGAAACATACTGCTACATACAAATGCAAAGCCTAATTACTAAAGTACTGTATTTGCTAAAATATAAAGTGCAAACTGAGCCCAATAGTTCAGAAATTGAAATTTTAAGGCGAACTTTAAAGCATAGATGAAACTTTTTTGCAAGTTATATTTTAGCATATACGTATATCTGCAACAGCATATAAGAAAAAAATCAGGCTACACAAGTGCTTTTGAAGCTATTCCTAAATGATTTCTGTATTGTTTGTGACTATTTTCTTTAAAATCTACTATACAGTGCAAACCATATGTGCTACACAATAACTATACAATAACATTACAAATGACTTTAATATAAAGTTTTTAAATAAAAAATAACATAACTACAGCTATGAATACTTCTGGTAAAATAAATTAATATTTTGAAAATGGCACCAATAATACACTTTACTAATGGACTGTAATGAAATTACACCTTGAAGTCAACTCAGCAATTATGAATTATCTCCTGATTGTCCAGATGTAATTCAAACAGCTTTCTTTAACCTTTATGGAACAATATACTAAACACAGGTACCAAAGGTGACTGATTGTTTCATTTGACATGTTCTGCTGCATGTGATGAGCAATAAAACTTCTTGTGAGTTATAAAGTTTGAAAGGTTGTTGAACTGGATGTCACACAGTCGGCAATATTTCCCGCTGGTTGGGGCCTGGGTAGAACCATTAACACCTTTTGCTATACTAGACAACTGTTCCTCAGCAGTAGGAATTGCTGGAGAGACATTTTCATTTGCAGCTAAAGGATTCTCAGAGATCCAAGAGGGAGACTTGTGCCCATCTTCATGTTGAGGATTCTGGGAAATGTTCTCTTGTTGTTGGTTTGTTGCAGGCCTCTCTTCCTGTTTTAGTCCACCATTAACTATTACCATGCCTCTGTTTTTTGGCAATAATGGAAGAGACTCTTTCTTCTGCACAGCACACCCATTTGAAGGTATCTGGCCTTTAGGAGATTCAACTTCTGTGTTTGTGCTTTGATCTAAATCAGTGTTATGAATGACAAGGGAACCAGAAATGTAATCACTTGGCTTTATTCCATAATATGGAGAAAGCTGATCAGCTCCTTTAGCTTTCTTTATTGCTCCAGGGTAAAGGCATTGTGGAAGAAACAAATGTTTGTTTTCTTCTTTTGTAGCAATAAGCTGGGCTGCTTCACTAAAGACTTTAAGTCCTTGAAGAGTTGCTAAATGTGTAGAAAACAAGTTTCCATTGGGAGAAGACTGTTTGGAGTTTCCATTTTTTTCACATTTGATTATGCTTCTTTCATAACTGACATCAGGACTGTTTCGTTCACTTTCTGGGTTTTGAAACACTTTGCTCTCAAGCTGTCCCAGGTCATTACGCTGATGTGCAGTGACAGGGCAAAAATTTTGCTTATGGGCCAGGTAGTTCTCTACCTTGTTGAAACTGATCTTGCAAACTGTGCACTCATGGTAGTCCAGCAGCCTTTTTGGAGAGGTGGATGTCCTGTCTGACTGCGATAAACATTTTTTGCTGAGATCTATGGGCACATCCATCTCCAAGCAAGAAACTGTGGAGTGTGAAGTGTCACATTTTGAAACTGGAATACATTTGTTAATGGACAACGATGTTTCTAGATGCTTGGAGACTATTCCTGGAAAGATATCACAGCGCGGATGGTAACATTCTCCAAGACCTTCTGTTGATTCTTGAGTGGATGTGCAAGGGTTGCCAAGATTAGCCACTTCAAGAAACCGCTGCTGAGCCAGCTGTGGCCTTTGTTCCTGCTCTGGTAGGCACATCTCATACATCTTCCTTCTTTTACGTGTACGCATTGTTCTCTGCATAGCAGGCACTTTGCTGGAAGCAGATCTCTTCAGTGGAGGATCATGGCGTGTGGCACAGTAATACTGTTTGTGGACCATGTAAGTTTCATGTCTGCTGAAAGTAATATTGCAAGCTTCACATGTGGTTTTATTGGGATCACTTTCTCCTTCTACTAAAGCAGCATTAGGGTTCTTCACATCAGCAGGTTTTCCATTAATTTTCTCATCAGTACTGGCTGCAGCTGAAAGCTTCTTCGTCTGTGCAGAAAAATCTTTTTCATGACCCTTACTGTTTGGCCCAATCAAATCTAACACAGAGGAGGAGTTGATGCAAGATGTCTGAAGAAGCTGATTCTCTGCATCTGAAGTGTGGGGAGTAGTATTCAGAATGTTTATTGAACTTTGGCCATTGTTAGGACTTACAGCCTCAGGCATTTTTTCAGAAATGCTGGAAAAATCGGGTGACTTTGCCATCTGCTGCCATCGGCTGCTGCAGTAATGTTTTTTATGTACTAAGTAGTTGTCCAGATTGTTGAACGTTATGTTACACTCAAAACAGGTAGCTCCTTTTGGCATCAATGGACTATAAATTACAGGAGGATAACTGCTACTGCCATGCCTCAGTCTTCGGTGTACCAGTTCAGACATTTTGGCTAAGATTTCTGAAGCCTGAGGAACCACTGTGATGTCCTGTGGAAAAGCAAACTGAGAGAGAAAAGGTCCCATAGGAAAAGAAGGTCCAATGTTAGGCTGAACTGGGGATGAGGCAAGTCTTGGACTAGATGGTTCAGATTTTATTTTAGTGTATGAAAAACTTTGTTTATTTGTTGCAGGCTGTGTTTCTGGCCTCTGGGCTGGAAGGAAAAGTGGAGTCTTTTTTTCACATTTGTCAAGCTCAGTGTCTGAACTTGCATCCTTAGTCTGCATGGTCTTTTGGCTCAGGGGGACTTCATTTCTGTTCAAAAGATCTGTTGCTGGCTGTAAAGCTTCTTCAGTGCCACCTGGAGAGGGCTCAATGTCACTTTCTCTTTGCAGCTTGTTGCCAGAGACATGTAGCTCTTGGTGCTGAAGTAGCTCCCTCTGAGTTTGGAAGCCAAAATGGCAGTGATTGCATCTAAAGGCAGCTTGAGTGAGATGTGAAAACAGATGCTGATGGAAGTTAATCACTGAGTCTGCTGTGTAGTTACAAACTGTGCATTTCAGATTAGCACCAGGCGGGAGAAATTCTTCCATTTTCACTCCTTTGGACAAGATAAACAATACACAACATGTTAGGGTAACCTCTTTCCTCTTATGAAGTACAGTATGAAAAGCATACACAAGGAGAATATAAACATGGTGAGAATAATTCATGTTCCTCTGATGAAAGTGCTCTCTATGTGTTCACCCATATTGGTTTCTCTGGTAATGGTTAAAATTTCAGAGGTGCAGGGAGAAACTGTAAGTCACATAAAGGTAATTCAATTTAAATGAAAGGTAACCCAATTTTTGTTACATCAGCATGCACAACAGTATGATGAGGGTGTTCAAAGGTCAAGTCCAGGAGAGTTGGGGGGTTGAAGAGTGCTTTGTGACACTGAAGCAGTGCAGAGCACTGAGTGTCATGATGAAACTTAAACTTGAGCTGTGGAAACTCATTCTTCAGACCGGGAGGTCTCTGCTCCAGTTTACTAGTGCTGGTCAAAGTGCCCTGCAGCCATAACATATGGGGGGCTTACTCAGGATGTGAAATGCAGTGGGCCTCACATGTTTGGGATGGCCTGTCCAAGGACATAGATAACGCACTGGTTAATGTGTGTTCTATGTCCCATTTTTGCTGATCCACAGAGGATATGGGTTTGTTACAGCCCCCAGTTAGGTTTCAGGTCTTTAGCACAAGCTATAGAGACATGGTTTTAGCTGTGTAGTCCCTGGTTCACTTCATGATGTCTGCCAACATAGCAGCTGTCACAAATGTGGCAGCCATTAAACATTCACAAGAAATTTACATAGATTTTGTAATATTACACTTAGAACCTGTTTAGAAGTAGGATAGTATCCTACACACACTGAGATTGTCCCTCTCTGCTTTCAAAATGTCCAGTGGTACAGTATCTAAGGGTATGTCTACACTACCCCGCTAGTTCGAACTAGCTAGTTCGAATTAAGGGGCTACACTCCCCTTAATTCGAACTAGCGGAGCGCTTAGTTCGAACTAGGAAAACCTCATTTTACGAGGATTAAGCCTAGTTCGAACTAGCTAGTTCGAATTAAGGGGCTACACTCCCCTTAATTCGAACTAGCGGAGCGCTTAGTTCGAACTAGGAAAACCTCATTTTACGAGGATTAAGCCTAGTTCGAACTAGCTAGTTCGAATTAAGGGGCTACACTCCCCTTAATTCGAACTAGCGGAGCGCTTAGTTCGAACTAGGAAAACCTCATTTTACGAGGATTAAGCCTAGTTCGAACTAGCTAGTTCGAATTAAGGGGCTACACTCCCCTTAATTCGAACTAGCGGAGCGCTTAGTTCGAACTAGGAAAACCTCATTTTACGAGGATTAAGCCTAGTTCGAACTAGCTAGTTCGAATTAAGGGGCTACACTCCCCTTAATTCGAACTAGCGGAGCGCTTAGTTCGAACTAGGAAAACCTCATTTTACGAGGATTAAGCCTAGTTCGAACTAGCTAGTTCGAATTAAGGGGCTACACTCCCCTTAATTCGAACTAGCGGAGCGCTTAGTTCGAACTAGGAAAACCTCATTTTACGAGGATTAAGCCTAGTTCGAACTAGCTAGTTCGAATTAAGGGGCTACACTCCCCTTAATTCGAACTAGCGGAGCGCTTAGTTCGAACTAGGAAAACCTCATTTTACGAGGATTAAGCCTAGTTCGAACTAGCTAGTTCGAATTAAGGGGCTACACTCCCCTTAATTCGAACTAGCGGAGCGCTTAGTTCGAACTAGGAAAACCTCATTTTACGAGGATTAAGCCTAGTTCGAACTAGCTAGTTCGAATTAAGGGGCTACACTCCCCTTAATTCGAACTAGCGGAGCGCTTAGTTCGAACTAGGAAAACCTCATTTTACGAGGATTAAGCCTAGTTCGAACTAGCTAGTTCGAATTAAGGGGCTACACTCCCCTTAATTCGAACTAGCGGAGCGCTTAGTTCGAACTAGGAAAACCTCATTTTACGAGGATTAAGCCTAGTTCGAACTAGCTAGTTCGAATTAAGGGGCTACACTCCCCTTAATTCGAACTAGCGGAGCGCTTAGTTCGAACTAGGAAAACCTCATTTTACGAGGATTAAGCCTAGTTCGAACTAGCTAGTTCGAATTAAGGGGCTACACTCCCCTTAATTCGAACTAGCGGAGCGCTTAGTTCGAACTAGGAAAACCTCATTTTACGAGGATTAAGCCTAGTTCGAACTAGCTAGTTCGAATTAAGGGGCTACACTCCCCTTAATTCGAACTAGCGGAGCGCTTAGTTCGAACTAGGAAAACCTCATTTTACGAGGATTAAGCCTAGTTCGAACTAGCTAGTTCGAATTAAGGGGCTACACTCCCCTTAATTCGAACTAGCGGAGCGCTTAGTTCGAACTAGGAAAACCTCATTTTACGAGGATTAAGCCTAGTTCGAACTAGCTAGTTCGAATTAAGGGGCTACACTCCCCTTAATTCGAACTAGCGGAGCGCTTAGTTCGAACTAGGAAAACCTCATTTTACGAGGATTAAGCCTAGTTCGAACTAGCTAGTTCGAATTAAGGGGCTACACTCCCCTTAATTCGAACTAGCGGAGCGCTTAGTTCGAACTAGGAAAACCTCATTTTACGAGGATTAAGCCTAGTTCGAACTAGCTAGTTCGAATTAAGGGGCTACACTCCCCTTAATTCGAACTAGCGGAGCGCTAGTGTAGCGCCTATCAAAGTTAATTCGAACTAACGTCTGTTAGTTCGAATTAACGTTGTAGTGTAGACATACCCTATTTTCTATCCCGTGATAGGTAGGTAAAAGGCACCTTGATTTACTGTCTGATCAATGGGGTCCTAATCCTCCAAACACATGTAAGTAACTATTACAAATGTAAATAGTTCCACTGAGGTGAAAAGGAAGGTTTTTTACTTTTAACAGAGATATTCAGGACAAAAGAATTTCTTTACTCTAGCCATAAATTCTTAGACAAAAATAAAAATGTCTTTATAGCATATGAGTTAATGTAGCATAAAGAAATACATTTCTAAATAATCTTTGTGGAGAATTTGCAATATGTATGTGAATTTCTAGGGATGTAAGGGTAAAAAATAGTCTGCACCAAAAAGAACATTTACAGAATGCTAAACATTGCTTGACTTGGTTCTGCATTCGAAAGTCAGACAGTGCCACAATTAAGTTTACACATCTTGAACTATGTTCTCTTATATGAGGTAGTCTTAACTACAAGATTTTATATATATATATATATGTGTGTTGTATATATATAATACAGTAGCATATATTAATATTGCAACATTACACACTATATAATATATTAATGTTATATATTAATGTGATATATAGATATATTAATTAATATTAACATATTAATACAATATATTCATACAATATATTACCCTTTTTTTCCTGAAGCTTAAAAAAAAACATTGCAAACTTATATTTTTTATCCTTCTAAACTTAAACAAATTCTTTGTCATCAAAACAGTACCATGTATTTTACTACCTTAGGGTTAAACACAGAAAGGGATATAGGTGTCTAACTGAAACTTTAGTTTACTAAGTCCAAATTTAGATACCTAAACACACTGCTTAGCTGCTGCCTAATCCTGAGCACCTACATTTCTACTTTAGATAAAATACTTACATATTTATTGGCACAGGATCTTGGAACTTGGGTCTCCCAGCTGTATGACCTAACCATTGGCCTATTGAATTATTTCCTCTGTGGCTTAATGAATATTTAAGTATTTTAGTAAACAATGGAACAGCTGCAGCAGGAGAGATTGAGAGTAGCCTATCACAAAATGATCAACAGCCTGATAGGTAGGGCACTCTTTGCTCCAGGTTATGGATTCTGATCTGGGTCGCCTGTATCTCAGATGAGTGCCTTATCTGATCATCTATTGGGTACCATAAGACCACCATTTCCTGTCTTTTTTTTTTTTCAAAAAAGGGCTGACATGATTTAGGTGCCTAGATCTCATGGCTGCTGAATAGAGATAGATCCGTCCCTTCAATCCCAAATTTAGGCACATAAGAGACTTTGAGGAGTGGGGCATAAGTCCTACCCCAATCAACATTTCTTACTGCTTAGTTAAGGAAATCTATTGTTAGATATTTAACTCTCCTCTTGTGAATTGCACAAGAAGCCCAGGCTCCCAACTCAGGGATATGAATTCCACTGAGCTCATAGCATCTAAACATCAAATTGTGCTGAGTCTAAGCCCCCTTCACTGATTTAGTCTTAGATTTGTTATATGAACTCTGTTTTCTGTAAGTCTGCATTTTCATCATTTTCTTATCCATGCACTACACATGAACTTTTCAAGTAACAGCACATTCTGGGAAAGAGCAGAGACATATTGCACATTTCCCTTTTCAGTGTACAGTTAGTCTGGAAATGTAATATGTTATGGTTTACCATGTGTTTTCATATAAATGATTTTGAAGGACATACAGAAATTATTACACAGAACTACAAAATATGAAATGGAAGTTGTGGGGAAAATGTAATTAAATATTTTTTTAAATAAAAGTGTAATGATACAATGAAAGATAGTAATTTCAATGTATGTATACATTAGGGCAGAGTTATGCCTGCAAACTGCATATGTGCTATTAGTGGAACATTTTGCCCTTTAATAGATCTGCAGTAGAGAGATCTGATCCCAGAAACCTTGAATGGCATCCACTTGTGATACATTGGGCTGAGGCTCTCTGATGTAAAAATGTAAAATACACATAAGCTCCCTTTAACTCCTCCTTACTCAACAAGGACCATAGAGAATTCTGGACACTCTTACTAGGCATACATTAATACATATTTCACTGTTAAGCCAGGCTAACTACTTAGGCTTGATAGCACAGCCTTCCTCATCTGCAGACTTTGCATGCCTGGTTGAAACTTCACTGTGGGATGTTCTATACATTCACAACTTGTGATTTTCAATAATCTGACCAAATCAAAGCTAAATTTAAACAGAACACTCAGAGATATGTGATAATGGGTCTAATTCTATGCCAGATTTAATCTGTATCATGAATAGGAAGTAATATTTTCTTTTTATAAAAAGGGAAATTGAATTTAGAGGTCGTGATTTAGTTCAACGCTACAGTGTGAGTCAGCATCAGACCTAGAATAAGAGCACAGACGTTCCTAATGCACATCTGTGATGGATAGGAGGAGTGCTGGCCAGCACCCAGTAACGAAAGGATTAAACTCATGTAGCTAGCAGTGGTGTTGGCAGAAAGCCAGAAGAACCAATGGGATACAGTGCTGAATTGAATTGCATATAGATAGATATCTTGCCTATTTTCTTTGTGTGTGAGTTAAGCCAGGAGTTGGGAAACAGAATGATTTAAACCCAGGCAGGACTACCATGCATACAAGGAATTCAGGTGCATGGAAGTGGACTGAACCATGAAGAGATTGTGAGTAAAGAAGGGAAAATGTGTATTTAGTCATGATCAGGGTAATTTTTGTTTTGTTTTGGTTGTTTGGTTAAACTTCTCTGTGTGAATCCATGTCTTCCCTCTCCCCGCAACATTTAAGCTATAAGTATATCCTTTTGTTTTGTTAACAAAATCACCTTTTTTAAGGCAGTGATTTGATTCTTGTGTCCTGGAAAGAAATAGGATGTATATGCATGCCTAAGACTGAGAGGTCAGGTATCAGAGACTGCAGTTTGTTTTCTATTTTTTCCAAACTCTCTTGTGGTAAAAGAGCTTGGAGGTACCCCTCTGGAAGAAGTCCAAGAGCTTTCTTCCTGGATTCAAGAAGAAAGAAGAAGAAAGGAGTTTCTTTTGTTTCACTTGGTGGTGGCAGCTACATCCCAATGCTAGGGGATCTGTGACGTTGGGGAGTTTTTAAGCAGAAGCTTATGGAGGCAAGGTATTTTTAATTGTTTCTTGCGGGCCTCCACCTTCTGCACTCAGGCCACATCTAAACTAAATTCCTCTTTTCAAAGAGGAATGTAAACTAAACAAATCACAAGTGTAAATGAAGCACGGACTTAAATATCCCATGCTTCATTTGCATATTCGCGTCTGAGCACTTTTTCGAAAAAGGGTTTTTCGAAAGTGAAAGTGCAGTCTAGATGCAGTTCTTTTAAAAAACCCTGAAAATATGAGGAGTACGGGTTCTTTTGAAAAAGGTTTTTTTTCTCTTGAAAGAACTGCATCTAGACTGCGCTTTCACTTTTGAAAAACCTTTTTTCAAAAAAGTGCTCAGACGTGAATATGTAAATGAAGCACGGAATATTTAAATCTGTGCTTCGTTTGCACTTTCGATTTGTCTAATTTACATTCCTCTTTCAAAAGAGAAATGTAGTCTAGACATAGCCTCAGAGTGCCAAAGTGGGAAACAGCCCTGACAACATCCTATAGCCTAAACACCAACCCTCTCAATGGAGGCACACAGTGTTCCACCTTTGTTTAACTATATGAGAGAATCTAGGCCATTAAAAGATCAACAGTTTGAATTTTGTAAATGCATAAAGAGGTCAGATAAATGCAGTACTAGTAGTTTAAAAAACTGAAAAAAATAAACAGATGATATGTGAGAGATACAGGGACTATATAATATGGCCAAGGAATGACTGTCTTCTTAGTAGCATGCTTCCAGTTCTTGATTGCATTACTGACATTTAAAGACTAATTGAAGAAGATTAGGTTTATAGACGTAAATGTTTAAAGAACAGCTAAATCTACAGAGGGATATATTTCACTTACCACTGTGAGAATTTAGGTGCATTTCCAGAGCTCTTGCATTAGAAAAACTTTTCGTGCATTGGGGAAAGGGGCAAACACTGGATATCTGATGAGCACTATCTTCATTCTCCTCTGACATCTGAGATCCTTCTCTTTGCCTTCCACTGCAATAGTACATGAGATGGGCCTGCAAATTCCGCTCACTTCGATACCAAATGCCACAGGATTTGCAAGGGAATATATCCTCTACAAGAAAATAAAACCAGATACAGGTTAGCTACACTGTATTCTGCATCCACAAGTAACATGCAGGTTTAAGTCCTTTAATTTTTCCATTAAAGAAACAGCTTACTTAAGAAAATGTTGGCAAGGTAGCCACAAGTTTCATACAACATCATTTGCAAAGACAAGGCAAAACATTTGTTTATTTTATAGGCTAAAGTCAATTAATAAAATAACCAATTAATATAAAACACTGATGTAAGTTCTTAGGACACCAAATTTTTTTAAGCAAAATACAATTAACAATTTGTGGCATAAATGCAATCTCAGCTGTATTAAAACACAATGAAAATATCTAATAGGAGACATTCTCAGTCACTTGGATCCTGATCCCACGAAGCTTGATCTCATAAAGCAGTGGTGTCCAACCTTTTTACACCCAAGATCACTTTTTAAAATGACAGACCAAGCCAAGATCTACCACCCTGCCCCTTCCTTGAAGCCTCGCCCCTTCCTTGAAGCCCCGCCCTCTCAATTCTCCTCCTCTCCATCACTTGCTATCCCCAATCCTTATACTGCTGCTTTAAAAAAAAATCTTCTGTAGGAAGAGGTTTTTCCAACATTTGGCCTGTCTAGACTATACCAAATGTCAGGAAAAAAACCCTTCTTTTGGAAGCCCCCTTATTCCTTGTGGAAAGAGGAGTATAGGGGTGACCGAAAGAGCCTGTTTGCTCTTCCCCTAAAAAAGCGGAAGAAAAAACGCAACCCTGGATGCAGAAGAGTTTTTCTGGGATATCTCCAGAATCCTGAAAAACTCCTGGGCTGTGTCTACACTGCACCCCTTTTCCGGAAAAGGGATGCAGATTAGACACATCGGAATAGCAAAACCCGTGGGGGATTTAAATATCCCCCACGATATTTGCATTTACATGGCTGCCACTTTTTTCCGGCTTGGGGATAAGCCGGAGAAAAGCGCCAGTCTAGACGTGATTCTCTGGAGAATAAGCCCTTTTCTGGAGGATCTCTTATTCCTACTGGGTAAAGCTATTGTTGCCTTGATAGCCAGGAGGAGCATACTGGTCTCTTTGGGGACTAAAATCTAAGAATTCAGTTATTACTCTAAGGCTACGTCTACACTGCAGAGTTTTTGCACAAAAAAGGCTGTTTTCATGCAAAAACTCGTTGAATGTCCACACCACAAGTGCATTTTTGTGCAAGAAAATGTACAGTGAATCAACAGAACAGAGGGTTTTTTTCAGTATTCCTCTTTTTACAAGGAATAACTCCTTTTTGCGCAAGAGTTCCACGAGGTGTACCGGTAGTTCGGAATAGGAATCCTAGTCCGAACTACCTAGTTCGAGCCCCATGTAGCTGCGCTGCACGGGGTTCGAACCAGCGGGGTTTTAAAAATGGCGGCTCCCCGCTTATGCAAATGAAGCCCGGGAAATTCAAATCCCGGGCTTCATTTGCAAGTGCGGTATGCCTACATTACCCCGCTAGTTCGAACTAGCGGGGTAGTGTAGACATACCCTGAGTGATTAGGAAAGATGAAGAGCTTCACATATATAATAGGGTTAAGTGACTACAGAAGAACATGATATCAGTTACCAATTTTAGAGAGGTGAAAGAAGAGTGAACAAATAGGATTGTATAAGGGGTCTTAATCGTAATAACTGGGGAATTTAATTAACAGAACATTTAGGCTGAATGTTCAGATTCAAGAAGTTGTATGCAGTGTTGTTACCCTATTGGCACTAGAATATTAAAGAGAGAAGGTGAGTGCTGTGATTAGGTCCCTTTAATGTCAATGAGACCTAAACACAAGTTTAAGCATCCTTCTCCAATACGGATGCTTCCATGAACTGGAGCTAATGTTCCTGACAATGATCTCTATTGTATTTTGAAATAGTCTCAGAGAAGTGGTAGAAGCTATTTCTATTGCTTCAGAAATGGAAAACTAGCCTGGATAAATATTAATATGTATTGTAAAGACCAAGCCTGCATTGACTAACAGGTAAGTTAACAGGTCTTTTTGTCTCTACTTTTTATGATTTTCTAATTCTGTGAGCTGTAGGAACAGATTTACAGAGCTGCTGTCCGAGAGAGGGCCAAACACTACTGTATTCAGCTAGCATCTATTTTTGCTGTGCTATATAATATAAACATATAAAGAAACAAAACTAAAACACGCTGTGGTACAATATTATGCACTTACTGTTGACAATGGCTGTAGGCAAAATAGATGCCATAGCAGCTTGTTGAGGGAGCAGTTGTATTGAGTCCAACAGACGTGCAGGATACATTCCTTCTGTAAGAGTCATCTGACTGGCGGCTTGTAGCCTTGAGTCAAAATCCACAACAAAGGCAATTAGCTCTTCACCCTCAGAGATGGTTTTAGTAGTGGTACACCAAAGCTGGCCCCCTATATGAAAAATAGAAACAGATTTAATTGGGAATGTAAATCTCAAAAGAACTTCAAACATCGGTGCTGTGTCTTTATACTCTCTTCTAACTGGGATGAAATACTTGTACAGATAACTCTTGCATTTTAAAGTTACATTGCTAGATACTGAAGTATTTTCAAAATATTGTTAAGGAAGCCACGATAAAAATATATTCATATACTCTACAATCAATTCAACAAAAGTATGATCAGCCTAATTCACCCTTTTGTCTCCTAAAAGACTGACATTTTCAGATCTCAATTGTAAGTAAAACTATTTTAACTGGTACTTTTCACTATGCTTCCTGTATATTTTTTCATATCAATTTCAGTTTTATTCCAAGTGCCTCATCAACAGCAGAATTATAATAAAAAATCCAAACGCTGCAAAGAAGAAATCAGATTTCCTCATAAGGTCATCTTCCCCTTCCTTATGATTGCTACCATCTTTCTTTGAAAAATCTTTCCTTATGTAATATTCTTCATAACATGACTGTTTTATCTCTGCTTACATTGACTGAACTTCCTGAAAAGAAGATATGCCAAAGATCTGTTTCATAAAGGATTATTCAAATAAAGGTTTGTTTAAAAGGGGAGGAAGGGGAAAACTTTCATCAAACAGTAAGATACACTATAGCTCTGTGCTGCAAATGTCACGTGCAGTGCATTAAAAAGAAAATTAACTATGCAAGTACATCTACTAATGTATTTGAATGTGATAGTGAATGCTCATTTATTTAACATGTTTAGACAGGCAAAGCACTTATATTGTGTTATCTACACTCTCAGGCCTAGATACATATCCAGTATAGTTATGCCTGAAATAATGTTGCATACTTTATATGTTATAAAGCTTTTGTTCCCTGAGGTTTTGTATATATAGCAAAAGCTATATGTTGTATTCATTAGGCAAGCAAAACTGTACTCATTTTGATAAGTAATATTGCTGTGTTTATCTTTCAGCATAACTGCCTTTTCAACTGCACTTCATTTTTTCCCCCTCAAAGAGATTATAGTTTTAAAACAACTTGTTGCAAAAATCTGGTGGAGGAGATAACAACAGTGTATGATATGCCACAGCTAAATGGAAGAATTAAGACATTGTTTTAGAGAAATCTTGGACAATTAATTAAACCAGTCTATTAGCTTTCAAAGATGAGCAAACAAAACAGCATCAGTGACAATATGTTTCAGTGGAAAAATAAAGCTGAGCTTCCAGACCTCAAAGTGGTATAAAAGTTTCAAAGAAGAAAACTTTCATTGCATTTACTCTTTGGTATTACAGCAGTTGAAGGTAGCTATGAAATTTACAATTTATTGTAACAGGACCAGTGTAGCGTAATGTTCTCTATTTTCCAGAATTAGGACATACAAAGATGGCAACTCTCACCAATTTCCTTTTGAAAATAAGAAGATGAAAAGGGAAGATAACAATACAACTGTATCTCCAACTCCTACAACCACCAGGAATTTGAACACTATGTGCTGGATTAGTCTCTCACTCACATGAAAGTAAATCAGAAATAAACTCACTGAAGGCCTTGAAGTTACACCAGTACAAAACCAGTATTGAACTAGGGTGGCTAATGTAGGCATTCAAAGTTGCAAATGAAGCCTGGGATATTTAAATGTGATAGGGTATGTCTACACTACCACCCTAGTTCAAACTAGGGTGGTAATGTAGGCAACCGGAGTTGCAAATGAAGCCCGGGATTTGAATTTCCCGGGCTTCATTTGCATCTTGCCGGGCGCTGCCATTTTTAAATGTCCGCTAGTGCGGACTCCGTGCCGCGTGGCTACACGTGACACGGACTAGGTAGTTTGGACTAGGCTTCCTATTCCGAACTACCGTTACTCCTCGTTTCACACACAGCTACACGCGGCACGGACTAGGTAGTTCGAACTAGGGTGTCAGTGTAGCCATACCCTCAGAGAGAACCAGATTAAGGGATATTTAAATCAGCATCTTAGATATAAAAAATAAATGACTTTATTTTGAGGTTGTGTAACCAGCTACACTATTTTACCTGAGAACACAATATATAACTTATTTGTGTGAGTGGAGGGTGGGTTCTTTTTAATTGTGTCTTACTTCTGTTTTATTCTTGTTTATATATTAAACTTGTAGTGTAACAATAATACAATGTGTTCTTATACACTTTTATAAGAACAGCCATACTGCGTCAGACCAAAGATCCATCTTCCACAGTATCCCGTCTGCCGATAATGGCCAGTGCCATGTGCCCCAGCGGGAATTAACAGAACAGGTAATCATCAAGTGTTCCACTCCCTGTTGCTCATTCTCAGCTTCTGGGAAAACACTCTGGCTACATCTACACTGCCCAGACTTGTGCAAGAACATATGCAAATGAGGCATGGTGATGAATATCACCACACCTCATTTGCATACTTAATGAGCTATCATTTTGCACAAGGGGCTTTTGCACAAGAGCCGTTCTGCCGATTATTTTCAGGCATTTGCATATGTTCTTGTGCATGACTGGGCGCGTAGACGTAGCTTCTAAGTATAAGGGCTTGAGCTATAATCGTATAAAGCTATGTACTTTGTATTAAAAATAAAATTAAAATATGCCACAACCACAACAAAAGAGCCAACTTTTTCTTCCCAGCAACAACCCTGACATGCTTCATCCTTGGAGGGGGGGAGAAAAGAGTCTAGTTGCTTACAGGATCTCCAATTGCAATCAGACTGCATCAAAATCCTTGTACACCAGGAATAAGGGGTTGACTCAACTCAATATGTTTGTCAGAGTTTGCCAGTTAGAATTCTTCCTAAGAATTATGCTGCCTCCACCAATGCATTTGTTCTTTCATCGTGTTAATCCACATGGCATATTTTAACAAATGGCATTTGAGAGGTCAGAGCAGGCATGTGTGTCTATGCATATGAGTAATTTACTTTCACTGGGCCTCAAGTCTGCCTTTAAGGTATAGCCCCATGTTGTAGAGAAGCTCCCAGACATGTAGTGAGAGTAGGCATGCTAGCACTGTCCCTTTGTAATGAAATATAACAGTTGCATAACATTTTCCATAGGTATTGGGGTGTATTATATTCCCCACACTGCATGCCTGTCCCTTCTTATAGGCAAGTGCTGATGGGAATATGTTAGGGCAACAGCCACTCTTCACTGTCCCCAATGGTCAAAGGAGAGTACTTCACACAAGAAATGCAACCGTGCTGGTGTTTATCTAGGCTGGAAGAGGTGGCAGAGAAGACTTCTCATCCCCTTGTCTATACTGTACAGCCATGTAAGTCAGGCAGAATCAAGTCCTGGTGTCCTGATTCAAAGTCCACTGAAGTTAATAAATAGATTCCCACTGATTTAGGCTCTAGGCCAGATTATGAACACTTCATTCACATTACTGACTAGTAACTCTCTTGAATAATCCCACTGATGTCCAGGGTAACCAATCTGGCCCCAAGTGATTTGATCATTACATCAGCCAAAGGAAAAGGGAACATAGTTTACTGAGTCGCTTGGGTAGAGTTTATTTCAGTGAATCTGAGCCACGTATCAAAATCTTACAAGAGAACACTGGGCCAGGTCCTAGGCTGGTGTAAATTGACATCATTCTGTAAAGTCAATGGAAACAAGCTAGCTTACACCAGTTGAGGCTCTGACCTGGAGGCTGCCGAATGGAACGGAAAGTACAATTCCATAGCTGCTCTAAAATGATAAGTACAAAATCAGCCAAACACAACTCAGTAAACATATATTATCTAGGCATCAAATCCAAGATCAACAAAAAAAGTATCAACAGATATGGCTTAAGCATTTATCTCTACTCCTTATTAGCTTACATTTGAATGAAAATATAATTAACTAGTTATGCAAGTAATTAGAAATGTTTATTTAATCAGAAAGTTGGGCAAGTGGAATAATATCATATTGTGCATACTAGAGCAAAAAATTACATTCCAACTGCATTGGCATGATTTCTTTATCAAATGGCATCACACACTGAATCAGCTATCTGATACCTTCATAGCTTCCACCAAATTAAAAGATTATTTTTGGATCCTCTTCATCTGTCTCTCACACTGAAAACACAAGTAACTCTTTGCTATTTAAAAAAAGGAACTAACCAAAACAACTTCAGGTTCTATGTAAAGGAAAAAGATGTCCCTGGAAAACTGTGGACTTACTGTTCTTTGTAATGCTTATGATCAAGATTCTTGTGCAAACAGATCTGGTTCCTAACAGGAAGCTTATAAATCATACTCATAATTGCTGTCAAAACTGCAGTGAAGTGTACTGCAAGTTTTGATAATAAAGAATAGAGTCACAGTTCAAACTTGATTACATTTTGGAAATTCATGCTGCTCTTACAAGAGATCAGTGGCCTTAAATATCTTCTTCTCCTGCCAAATTTTTCACTTGCACTTTTATTATTTATGAAATCAGTGTCTGCACAATGTCATGCAGACCTCTGTTGATAAAGTCTAATTAAGATTAAGACAAGCCTTTTGGAAAGGATCCCATTATTAGCAAACATGATAAACACAAAAATACTCCCTACTTGTCAACCAGGAGCAATTCAGTAACCTAACAGTATTATCTGTTGCTAGGCTACAGAGCTGACAAAGCTTCAATTATATTGTAGGACCATACATATAGAGTACTGAATAAGCAAAATGTATTTAATATAAAAGCATTTAACTTCAGCCACACTATCTACAATTCATGGTTTCTTTCAATGGCAAAAATCAGTTTAATAATTATATAACATGCTGGAAAAATCTTTGCAATGAGTTATGTTTGCAGATTTTTTTCTAATTTATCTGTGTGATTGATAGACATTTGGTTCGCAAAAATAATAAAATGCAAGCAATGGGTAGCTGTAAACCACTAACAGAACTACCTCTGGGCTCATCAAGATATGGAACCAAGCTTAGCATAAAATACATATAGTAAATTGAACCAATTAAATCACATTCAGATGTGGTAATACCCTGC